AAAAAAATACGAGTATTGAAGTGTAAATTTAGGTAAAGGCACAGTGATTCTGAGTTGAAGCAAATTATACTGGTGGTGGCGTAATACCGGATTAAATTGCTTCTCAAGTCATTGTAAATATTCTTCGCCCGGTCTTTGTATGGCCCATCAACTAAAACAATCAAAACAATTATCACGGTACAATGAACCAAAAAAAAAAAAAAAAAAAGATCCAAATGGCAGAAAAAATATCGGTTAATGGTATGTGTACCTTGGGAATAATAGTTTAGAGCAGAAAGAATCAAATAGTTCATGTTCATCCAAATTGGGCCTCTCCAGTAAGGCGGGTCATGCTCAGTGTTGCGTTTCATGTATATTGAGCTGGTGCACATCGAAAAACTCGTGAGAAATTAGTACCAACATGTCCACAATCATATTCAAGGCACAACATCCGTTTTTACCTTGTTTTGGAAAGAGATCTCAGTCCATATTCAGTCCACAGAATACTAATGTTTGAGATGATATCGAGCTGTTTATCTAATATCCATGAATCCTGAATTGTGTAACGTGTAGATCATATTTAAGATGAGCTCTCATTCAATATATGGCCGAAAAACAGAAACAATGTACAACATTTACATGAGGTTTAGCCTTAAAAACAAAGAAAAAAGAAAAAGGGAAAAAAATCCAAGTATCTTCAAAATTATAAGTACCCCGAGAAGAGAGTTATAAACACAGCCTTGAGATTTGAAGTTACTACTTTCTGGAAATGAAAAAAGGTAAAGGATTTTTTTTCCAAATTAGGAATATAATCTTTTGTATTTATTTACTAGTTAGACTAAATTTATCTCAGAATAGTTTTTGTAATCTACTCGAAAAAAAAAAGAAAAAAAAAAACAGCTCATTGTATCAACATAAGATCCTCAATCAACTCACAGGTGGAATAAGCCTACCCATAAAGGGAAATAGGCTAACGTAGCCAACATGAGGGACCAATCTCAGCTCAGGTCTCTCTAGAACTTCTCGTACAAGTTCACGAGTAGGATAACTTCCAGGCGCTTCTAAAATCCGCCAACTTAGACGAACCTACAAAGAGTATAACTGCACTTATTAGAATGATTCATTTCATCCACCATTGTATTTCGTACAAAGGATAAGTTTATGCTCATGAAGATTGCACTGATTGCCAAAAACTCCAAGCCATTTCATAATACAATCCAACATGGCATAACTGTATTCTCGAAATTCAAACATCAAGTGATCTTAATGTGACAACATATATATTCCCAATCAGGTGTAAACAATCCAGGCATAGTTTCTAGAAGCTGGAATTTTAGCAAGGTAAACATTGCAGTGACTTCCATACAGCAAGCTAATATTATCAGGCAAGAAAACCTGAAAAGCTAAAGCAATACCTTCTCTGTGTGATTTCCATAATCAAAGTATGTTCCACTACTATAATCAAGATGCAACTGAAAAGCAAAAGGCAAATAAGATTGGTAAGAGAGTCGAATCCCCTAATTATATAGAACAAAACTAAAGCATTGTCTCCATCTTAATGACAAACAATTTGCAATTGTAAGGACAACAATAGACGAGAGGAATGACTTGGAGAAAATCATAACCAAACCTGATTTAAAAGCTCAAAATCTGATAACAACTTTGCCGTGGAGTGATACTCCTGTTGAAGTTACATAAGATCAGAAAACAAATGCTACTGATTTCTTTCTTGGTACTTATATTGTTTTTAACTTTCAAGATTATACCTTTCCAGCATCACTGCGCTCAAGATACGTTGAAATGGAACTCATGCAATCTGCAGCAAGCTGCATCCAGCATCTGAGATCCACGTGGCGTTCATCTTCACTGGGGTGTGATGCACGCGGATAATCATCCAATCCAGAAGACAGCGACTGGAGATATAAAAAAATTATTTTGGTATATCTGACTATTTATCCAACAATAACTTTTTCTATTTTAATTTTGACAGTTCAAAATGTGTTATATGGATGTTTTCATATGGTATATAATATCTGCCGACGTTTTATAATCCTGAACCCTACGTATCTTCCTAAGTGCACCAAAATATACATGCATTCCTACAGGCGTTCTTTAGTTGATGCAACTTTAGCTTTTAATTCCGATATTTTCAGCTATTAGTTTTTGCAATTCAGAATTTGAACTTCATCAAAAGTTATAGCATCTATATTGTAAGAAACAGGGGGCAAAAAGAGTGTGGTCCCACGCAGATGAAGCGCACCAAGAAACGGGAGGAAAAACGAGTGCGGTCCCACGCAGATGAAGCGCACCAAGACAGTGAAAGCACAGATGAAGTCCAAGTGAGGTTCCATCCCAAAACCAATTGGTGGAAGGAGGAGTAGCCCACTAGACTTATAAATTAAACCTATTTTCCCTATATAAACGATGTGGGACAACTCACAAGTGTATATTCTAACATATATAAGCAGCCGAGAGAGAATGCAGAAAAATTTCATGTTGCCCATCATTCTCATTTTTTTAGAGGCATATTATAGATTCACAACCTCATGCTGGTTTTTCCAGCCCTATCTTATATGACTATATTATATCTGAATGAGATTAATAGACACCGGCAGTGAAAGTTCAAAGACCTGTTAACATCCTTCTAGTCATACCAACTGTGCACTCAGAGCTGATATCCGAACAAATGGAATAACCAGACCTACTTAAACTATTCATTTATAAGAAATAGTTTTCACTTGTAAATAGCAGATAGTTGAGAGACCAGATAATAGAAAATATATTATATTTGCTTATTCCCACAAAGTCAAAGAGGTACAGAAATAATGTAAAAAAATATAAAGATGGCTCAATGTAATAATCCAAGAGGAAAATAACCCCAACAAACAGAATTCGATCAGTCCTGACAAGTAGTACAAATTTAATGAGAACCTTAGGATTCAGTTCACGTATTGTTGCATTGTCTCGTCCGTGCCAAAAGTAGGTGCCAACATCTTTTCCTGTAAATAGAAAATTAAATTCTAAATTCCGGAACAGCCAGATTAGCTTGCTATCATAACAAAACTTCTTTCCAAGTTCGCAGTCAAGCATCTAATGAATTAAACATTTTCTGAAAAGGCAAACATGTATATGCTGCCTGTCATTTTTATCACAGAGAAATAAGTCAAGTATATATTAGTTTGTAGGGTTCACAAAATTTTGTATCACACTCACCAGATTGAGTAGTATTAAACCACTTAAACCATGCTTCCAGACGAGTAAATGCTCGATGAAAGAAGACCGAGATATTATTTGCTTCTGAGGCAGTAAACTTATCTTTCTTCATGCCACAAACCAGATCTGCAAAATATAGGTACATCTCTATAACAAAACGATCATTGCAGGGAGTCTGAAGCAAGATTTTCCTTATATGCATTTAAAGGAAAACCATGAGCGAACAAGAAAACACTCATGGCTGTAGCAACAATTTTATTCAACATCAGATATGGTTAAGAGGCAAAATTCATGTCACTGGTGTCTCAATTATAAATAGATTGCAAAACACCCACATCATAAACATGTAAGCCTCTTGGTAGATAAGCGTTTGATCAGAAACGAGAGAACAAGACGCCTTGGTGAAACATAAAAAAAAAAAAAAAAGTATCGTGCCATCCAGCAATGTTATGATCACACAGCAGAAGAGAAACACAGAAACTCCAGATGCCCACACTAAACTGTATACTGTGGAACAGAGAAGGGTCCCTAGTAGTCTTTGATCCTTTGTCGCCAACAGAAGAGCTGGTGCTCGATAAAGTTTCATGAGAACAAAGCAGCACGAGCTACACTGGTGGCCCTTCAGAGGACTGAAATCCACCAAGTTTCCATTGCCTCTTTAACCTCTTTCTCATTTTAGTGAGAGAGTGGACATAATTATGTCTAGATAAACTACAAAAACAATGTGAAATAGTCTAATATCTCATGCCATTTCATGGTTTCTTGGACACATTCAGTACAATTTCAAAAGTATACGGTTAGAATTGTTACAACAGGTCAGACATTGCAGATCAGAAAGAGAATAGAATAAGACAGGTAAGTAGCCAATACTCTGTTCATTTAAAAAAGTACTTCTCTAATCAGTACATGCATTGGTTTGAAAATGAACCTTTTAGAACCAAAAACAATGTTGGTGGATTTCCATTTGTTGGATGCTGAAGCACAAACTCTGATGGTACTTTACTGCCAATAGATCAAAACATTAATTAAATGCAATTCTACATGGACTTTTAAGTAGTATGAGCTGAGTATCTCCGCTGGAGGAATCTATCCAATGTACCTCAAAGCTTCAGCGCCTAAAATCTGCTCACGTGGAATCCAACCATCAGCATTTATCAGATCCAACCAGTGCCCTATAATATCCAAAGAAATCTCAACATCCCAACGCCTTTTCATGCAAAGACAAAAAACAGATCTAATGTCATTCAGAAATATTAGAATGAGAACTTACAAGCAGCATAAGTTGCTATGAACGAAAGAAAAATCAAGGAAGAAAAAAAAAAAAAAAACATATCTGCATGCCTAAAAGCCACCCACCAGATCAACAGCTGGTGAAAACCTTCATCCCACAAAAACCCTCTAGGAAAGAAGGGACGACTTGGTACCGCTGTGTATAGCTCAGCTGGCCAATATGAAATATAATTGTCACCAGGCACAGGCTGCATGAGATAATATCCCACTACATGACTTTGTTATGCATCAAATTTAGCAATCAATCAAGTAAACACAAGACAAATTTGATAGGATGGCTTCATTAATATGGATGAGAAATTTGTAAATAGATAAATTACTGACTAATCAAGCATCAGCTTCCGCAGATGTAAACAAGAACTATTTCGTGGATTTGCAGTTTGTAACATACCAAGCATAACCAGTTATTCCAAGAAAATGGATACTGAAGAGTTACAACTTTTTAGTATGTAGTGGGACATGTATAGATAACATAAGAAAATAAAATAAAAAAGTAATGAATAAAGGTCAGATGACTGTTTTGGGTTTATTGGCCATGTTTCCAGAAAAATATACTGACGGCTGTTTTGGGTATGTGGAACATGTTTCCAGAAAAAAAAATATACTTTTGAGAAAGATAATGTAAGCTAAGACTGACGTGCAAAACCTTCATTAAACAGGAATCAAAAAAAATATTTAGATAAGAAAAGCATCCGCCAAAAAATCTCTTAAATTAGGTAAATCACACTGGATCACAAATATTTTCTCAAAACATTTGTTTTAACTCTCATTTTTTGTGACCTTTGCGGTTAAACCAAGAAAGTAAAAGGAAATTAATTGTGTTATCAACAGAATATTGACATAAAACAGGTCAGCAAGGTATATGTATAATTTGACGGGACATCATGGATTATATTATATACTTTTTGATAAAAATCAGCTAAGAAACTTCATACCAACACAAAGAAAACCAATACAATAATGTAATGAAATGCAAATAGATGTTGTACATAACATGATTCCACAAAAGTTAGATTGAGGAGATGAGCAAGTAAGCCATCAAACTAATTAGAAACAGCACATTGATCCAGATTTCTGAATTTAGACATACATGATCAATATGCAATAGAAAGAGCCAAAGAGAGCAATTCAATTCATGTCACCAAAATGAAAGAGACGGCTTGAAAGCAACTCAGCTGAAATGACTTACATTGGAGGATGGTGGAAGTGAGATTTTTGATTGACCATAGAAGTAACCAATCCCACCCAACAAATTCCCAAGAGCTGCTTTACTTACTGTAATGGCTTCAGAAGACAGCTAGGAAAATAATAATAATAATAATAAAAAATAGATCTCAACTCAGGGACATGAATATTAACGAAACCCCAATAATGAGAAGCAAAAAGATATAGAAATACCAGTACAAGAGCAAATAACAGGGAAAATTCAGTTGAATATTCGATGGTAGTAGACAACAATGCAGATAATAAAACACTATGTGATAAGTTTGCAAACTATCTTTAATTGTAAAATCTTGGACCAATTAAATTCAACTTGAATGTTTCCAGCACATGCAAAAGCAGTGAAATTTTTGTGAAAATAAATGCACATACAACGATCAACTTCTGTAATCACATTTGATATTATGTCCCATGCCAAATTTCACTACCACAAAACATCATATATGTGGTGAATTTGTTTGTAACATAAAATTTATTTGATAGAAATGTAATTTCATAGAACATAAAATTTATTTGATAGAACAGATCATAATGGCCCATCTCAGTATCAACTCATTTTCCCTTCTCAATGCATATTATTTACAAATCTTCCCTTCTCAGAGTCTCAAAGAACTTGGAACACGTGAATAATAAAAAACTATGACATGAGGATACAAAATCTTGATTTCTGTTGCATGGGTCCATATATGACTTTCAAGAGCATATAGCAAGTTATTAACCTAAAATCGTACGGTATGTTGTTGAGTGAGAAGTGAAAGTGGTTTCGGTGAAACCGTAAAACAGTCAGAAACAACATAAGACACATCTCGCATGTGTGATTCCTGAGGTCAAATTCCACAGCAAAGTTGTATGATTTGCAATAAACCTCTAGTCATTACTCATAACCCTCAATCAAAAAAAAAAAAAAAAAAAAAAAAAAAAAAAAAAAAATCTCAAAATCCAAGGACAATGCATTGGAAAGCATCCATAACAGATACCTCATCAGACATTTTAAAGCAATTTTGGAACTTCTCATCAAATTGCTTCTGCTTCTGCTCTAGACGGTTGGCCAAAGAGTTGCCTGAAATAATTAGCAAATGATCCAATTTATGAGTAGGGAATAATGCTGGCTTACAAGTATAACATGAAATTGTGATCTAACAATAATAAAAATAAAAGAGTGTAATTTTCATGAAGAAAGCCTGCATCATATGTTAACTCAAAGACCCACTATCAGTTACCAGAGAATATAAACTATTTGAAATACTTGAGAGTTGATCAAGAAAATCTCACAAGTATAAGATAGCACCATGTACGTCATAATCCGTATAAGATAGCATTTACGGAACATTATTGCTCGATTAAAGGATAAATAAAATTGCAACTGCGTATTCATTGAATTAGGATGCTTTTTCTTTTAGAATTGAAATTGTTTTTGTATTACTTGGTTTTATTTTGCCAGGACATTCTTTAATGTCGGTGTCTAGTTTTGTAAGTTCTGTATAGCAGCTTGTCAGATTACTAGTTATTTCTTCAAAATAGAAGTTTCCATTATATTTTTAATGAAAAAGGAAGGTTAATTATATTAATGGTATGATTAAACAGTGTCATAGAGATTATATATATTGAAGAATAAATTATATAATCAAGCAACTAAGAAAAGAAGAACAAATCTGCAGATTGAGGTGGTTTTGAAATCCGGATTGATTGCCTTTTGAAGATATTTATTTTCTTGTTCTATTATTATTACCTGCTATAAGTATGCCAATTTAATACAATATAGGGTCTCTAGTAGTGGCAAGGTAAGCAATAAGAATTTATTGTAATAGCTTGGCTAGTGGGCAAGATTAGTTCTTGCTGAGCAGAAAGAACCGTTCTGCTGGGAAGCTTTACCATATATATACATTAAATAAATTTCAGATTTCATTCTCTTGATTATCCACTCCTATCACAATGTCTTGAAATTGATGTATATTAGGCTTAACTACTTACCTTTGTCGTTGGAAGCACTAAATCATTCTGGGAGAAACCAGAAAGAAGAAAGAAAAATAATTCAGGGGAAACCAAAAATGAAAATGTTATCCCTAAGATATCCAAATAGAGGAACATCACATTAACTTTTTCAAAAACTCCATCTTCACAAATAAATAGCCTCAATTTGCATATGGTACAAATCTGACCTTAACATGTAAAATTCTTCATTTAGAAATACTGAAAAACCTCTTCAGTAAGGTATGTCTACTTTCATGCTCAGATCTCCAACTCGTCCTCTGCCAAGTAACTAAATTTCCTACCCAAAGCTATGTTGTTACAGCTCTAAGGCAGTGATAACATCTAATTATTAGAATAGTTTGTATCATTGTAAGTCGAGGAGTTGTATCGAATGTTTCATGACACATATATATAACTGCTTTGAGAAAATACAAGATTTCCCAGAGCTGTTTAGTTTCAATTATATTTAAGAACATAAAATATCAAGATTCAAATCCCTGCATATATCTAATGTCAGTTTATTTCTGTTATGCTGCCAGGATCTCAAATGATTCTACTATTGCATACACAAGTGAACACATACTATTTCTTTCAATAAGACCTGCTATATCAATTTTAATTTCAGTTGTGTTATTAAATTTGAGTCCTTAGCAAAAATTTTTGTCAGGGTAGCAGTAAAATGATTATTTCTGCAAAAACATTTGTCTCAATATTATCATTGAGCTTGGAAAGTGACCATTATAAGAAGTAAAACGAATGATACCTGTGAGGCTCTTCATACGTTCTTTCACTCTTGAAGTGAAACCATCCGAATTTGATAGAAAGGCCAAATCCGCTTTGAAGGGAATCATTGCAGATATCTGAACTAACATGATAAGGAAATACTTAGCAACATTGATGAGAAGCAAAGGTAACAATGAACAAAATTATTTTTGTTTAATGGGTTAGACAACATAATAAACAATTTATTGGGCATAACCTGGAAAACTAGAACATTTGGAGCATTATCAGATGTATCTGACAGCTGTAATCGACCAATATTCCTAGCCTAAAGAAAACATGGAAAAATCAGTTGAAGGTAACATGACAAAACGCACTGTAGAGCACTAGACTGAAGTCACGACAGCTACAGTTGATGAAACAACAATACTCATAGTTTTAAAAAATAAATACTACGAACCTGAATACCAAGATTAGCTTGAACAAGATCAGATAAATTGTGAAAATGGCGTGTCTTGAAACCAGCATAGTGGAACTCAAACTCATCCTTGAAAAGTTCATTATTTTGCATTAGTTTACATATCATCAAATATAAATCATATTTATATACTTCTTATTTCAAAAGGACATACCTTCGAATCCAAATGAAGCTCCCAGCTACCAAGATCATTTCGTGAACCAAATGCAAGGAGGTAATCATCAGGAACATCTGAGGTGCCTTTACCCAGACCAAGAGTTCCAATACCTTCATCTGCCACATAAAAGAAAAGGTGCACACTTTTGGCCGTTTCCTCATTAAGTCTACAACAAGTCCAAAATTTTGAGGAATATTAGAAAATGCCAGAACTCACAGGTTTTAAATGATAAATTTACTCAGCAAGGAGTGATTTCAGGTCTCCACTTAAGCAGTGAAATTGCTTTGAAATTACATAAAACCTGATACCACTCGGAAAAGTGCAACTTACAATTAAACATAGGAACTAAAGCCGAAAACATAACAAACAACAGCCTAACTAATAGACCATCTTAGTGAACACATAATAAAGAAGTTTCGACAACATATTATTGCAAGATGCAAACAAGATAAGGGATTTAAACTCTGTCTCAGCCCTAAATGGACTCCAGATTTGATAACAATCTATTTCCATATTCGTTTAATAGCTAAAAAAATCGGTTGATTAAAGTAAGCCTCTTATGACTATTTTACTGCCATGTTAACCCATCATCACTATTCCTCTACTGCAATGTCTTTAAAACTCTTGTATAATTACAAGGGTAAGGTCAGCGTACAACTGACCCCCCAGACCCCAACCTGTTGGGAATATACTGGGTATGTTGTTGTTGTTGTTGTTGTTGTTGTTGTAAAATGGATAAAAAAGTCAATCAAGATTATGCTTAAGCATCTTGAAATACATGTCTGTCAGATGAAAGCATCATAAAGGTCAGATGAAAGCATCATAAAGGGTCTGGTAACTTACCCTTCACTTTGTGCTTCAATTCGGATTGCCCAATCACCCCCATAGCCGCTCTCTTTATCCTTTGACTTCAAAAAACTTGTAGTCAATGCCAATTTTTGGTCAACCAATACCTGACGACCATAATCACGCCCATTATGATGTGTCCAACCATATTTCTTTAGGTCATCTGAATCTTGGCACACATGCCTCATGGAATATTGCCCATCCTTAACACCAATCCACATCAATCCGGCAAGTAGAGATTGTGGAGTCCTGGCAATAACATAAACTTGTTACCCTATTCGTAATAACTGCACCACCACAGTAGAAACTAGCAGAAATCAAACACCATTCAAATAGAAGAAGAGCAAGATAATGTTAGAGTTGACAGAATAAATTTACCCATAACCTCCTTATAAAAAAACTGCATTCGAGACATTCAATAAAAAATAAGATTCACTAATCAGACATTACCATTAACAGTAACTACGAAAAAGAAGCCGACTCTATATCAAATATACTGTTCTTTTTAAAGCTTGCATAGAGTTACTGGTATCATTGCAACAAAGATATGAAAATGAACAGGGAATATCACAGAAAACTGAATTTCCATCAGTGGCCATAACAGAACCTGCAGCAAAATGTAATGCAACAGAAATTACCGTGCTCGAATCCCAAAATAAACATGGGGCCTATACGTCCCCCAGTATAAACTTTCCTTGTGCTCTCCTTGAAACTGCACCCAGCGCGAAAATAAAATAAAAAGATCAACAAACTCACTTGCAGTAAAATAACAGGAAATAAAAAACAGTTCAAATCTTTCTACTCATAATAACATTTTCAATCATAAATTAATAATAATAAGCTTGTTTACCATAGGAAGATCCATGAGCTTGGGTGCAGGCAATGGTGTAACAACCCTAGGCTTCAAATTCTCCACCGCAGGGTTTATCAAATAATTCTTCATATACAGTCCGACCACGATAAGAAGAACACCGGAAGCAAACAAAGCGACGATGGTGGAGTTCAGGACCCGACTGGGAGTTCGGGCTTTTCCAGAGAGTGATCGGGTTTTCGGGTTCGGGTTTTCCCTGTTAGGTGATTGATCGCCATCCAAAAGCTTGTTTCTGCCTTGATTTGTGCTTCTTCGGGAGATTCGGGTCATTTCCGGGTAAGGGTCAGGATTCGGTATCCGTGCTTCCGTTCTAAGCTCCGATGAAATTTGCAGGTCTCAGGCATAAATTGGAAGAGAGGCGCACCAGTGTGAAGAGTTGCCAGTAGGACCGCTAGGGATATATTAGGCCGTTCATGGTCTTTTATTTTTATAGACATAGATTATAGACATAAAGATAAATTAAGAAGGGCGTCACGCAGAAAAAAATAAAACAAAATAAAATAAAGATAAATTAAGAATAATAGTATTCGACCCTTATAAATGTAAATAAAGTATTGTGAGTTATTTATATGCATATAATGGTTATTATGTTTCTTTCATCTTTTTTCTGGCCAAATTTACAATTAAAGGTGTTGAAATATATATATTTTTTTTTTAAATTGTGTTTATCTGATTGGATGTAATGTACATTATAGTACGTATTTTTGTTGTGAATTATTTAATATAATATTATTATTATCGTACATAAGAAAATAACATTAGTATAAATATTTATGTTTTTCTATAAAATAGTGATAAATGATAAAAATAGTATGATATCCATTCATGTCATATTCTTCTACATACCAAACACATCAATGAAAAAAAAAAAAAAAAAAAAATCCCTTCCATTCCATTATCATTTCATTATCCAACTCATTTCATTCATAACAAATTTCATTTCATTATACCAATGTTATTTGGCATCTTCAATAGTGAGAATGAATTGTAGTCTATATAGATGGCATTGAATGGACTGTCATGTCCATGAATAACTTTCCAATGGTCAATTTCTAATGGCATGATTGATATATTGGAATGAAATTTGATAGGAATAGAAAGAGTTGAAGAATTGAATGAATATGAAAAAGGAATGAAACAAGTTTTTCTATTGATGTGTTTGGTATACAGAAAGAATAAGACCTGAATGAAATGACATTATCATTTTATATTATCATATCATATTTTAGAGAAAAAAAATAATATTTACATGAATGTATTTTTTTATTTATGATAATAATAAACTATTTTATTTTTTAAAAAATATATACTATAGTTTACTAAATATTTTTTGTGTTGTTACACTCATATATATATTAAATAATAAATTGGTGAATTGTGTATTCGTATACATATTAACTAATACAATTATATTATTTAATAAAACCCTATAAGTATATGTGGTCGAATATAATTTTTTATATTATAATTCACTTTACGAATAAATATATAATATATGTAATGTATAAAAATAAAATAATATATTTATAAATCATTTATAAATGCATTTTCTTAGTGTTATTTTGATATAAGTATATTACATATCTAATTAAAATATGAACAATAAATAAAAATAATATTTAAAAATTTTATTTGAATTTTTTTTAAAACAACTTTAGTTAATATAATTTAATCATGTTTATAGTATATATTATATATTTATTTTTTTTATTAGTATTTGTTAATACTTTTTTTTTGAAAAATTGATTCCTACAAATATAGGAATGATGTGGAATGACTAATTCCATGGAGATGAGTTTTGCAATTTCCATTGGAATGATCATTCCTTTAAAAAAAGTATATCAATAATGAGATAAGGAATGAGTAAGAGAATTATCATTCCATTCTCATGTTATTCCCTCATACCAATCATGTCATAAATACCTATCAAACGTGTTTTTTTTTTTTTTTT